CTTCCTACCCTCACAAGAACCGTGATAAGCGGTTACAGATGCGAAGACGCGACAAGACATGGACTAGAATGTGGCAGTAGAAAAAACGCTGCTGGTATATAGCTAGGATAACGTGAACTAATAATGCAGATATCATCGAGTAGTCCTATAACGACTTTCAAATATTGTTTTACTAATAGAAACACGTATTTTAATTGATTCGGTTTTTACAATGAATGTAATGACTCGCAGTTTCGACAGTTTGGTTTATATATCAATTCTTTATCAAATTACTTGCGCGTATAAATAACTAAACGCCGACTGCCTAATAAACACTCTGTTCTAAGAACTATGTTCAGACGTTGCGGATGAAACAGGCAATCAGCCGTTAACTAGAAGATCTAAAGTACCTTATATATACTCGCAAAATGGCCGCCTCCGGCGGCCATATTCGCTCGTTACGCAGATGAGACTACGATGATTTCTCTAAATCTCGGCCCGATTCATAGTAATCTTTTAGTAAAATATTGACTTGATACGAAGACAATAATACAAGGATCCTGTTACTAATATAACATTTTCTGTCCCGGTAAATTCATTTTTATGTAAAACACTTTGTACACACCTTCTAATCCATTGTTTTTCTCTTCAAATTAAGTCTAATATAATACAGTCCGACCTCCTTTTATCCGGCCACGTCGGGACCGGCACTCATCCGAATATGGGATTTGACCGGATATGAGAGTTATGCTCAAACACAGCCTTTCTATGCAGTTCAGTAGGGTTTATGCATGTGATAATGTATTTACTCGTTGCTATGATTATTGTAACAAACTGTCGTGTTTTATGGTTTATATGAAATGGAAACAAAATGAAATAAAATGACATTTTACCGGAGGCATAGCGGACACGAGCGGACAACACACACACATACACATACAAACGCTTCGCAGTAATGGTTTATATCCTCTTCACGTAGTGTAGCGGAACGTATTGGTTTCGCACCGTTTGTGTGTGTGTGTGTGTGTGTGTGTGTGTGTGTGTGTGTTGTCCGCTCGTGTCCGCTATGCCTCCGGAAAAATTTCTTTTTTTTTTATTTTTTTTCTA